CATCTTCCTACACCTTCCCTGGCTTTGCCAGGTATGCGCATAATTGCCAAGGTTATAAAACATTTTATTGTGGGAAATTCTGAGCAAAATCCAAGCAAGGGAGAATCAGTGACCATATAGCAGTGTAAACAAAATGACACTTAAAAAAATTTTCAGTTCACGCCTCTTCCAAAAATAGGGTTACAGCAAATTTACGTGGGTTTAAAGTAAGCTTTTGTTAACTGAGCTAAGACAGATTATACCCAATTGAGGAAGGAATATCAATGGGCTTCCATAAGAAGGGAATTGCCATGACATTGGCTAATTTATAAAAATTTCAGCAGATGAGTGAAAATGTTCGCACTGTTATTTTCCTGATTCAGAGTCAGAATGACCTTCCAGGATAAGAAACGGCACCGGTTTCCTGTATGTGCGTCTGGCTCAAAGGTTCGGGTGCTTTGTAAAACAGAAGATAAATACTGAACACTTTTCTCCAATTTCAGAATTTCTATTTGCTTACAATTTAGCTAATAGTTTTTGAATAATGTCAGAGGAACGTTCATCTCCAAAAACAACTTTGATTAATTGGGATTTAAATATTAAAATCTGCAGTATACAAATCTTATCTTGTATCCTAAAATTGTTGAGATTATCGCATTAAGTGTGATATTGTACTGCACATTTTTCCAAGTTTGTGCCTTTGTGTATATGAAAGAAGTGTGTGGCTTAAAGAGAGAGATAGGGGAAGAAAAAAATGTAATATGTTCTAGTCAAAACATTTTAAGTTAATGAGCCAAAACATATTAAATCATTTGAAATGTTAAGATTGATGTCATTATCGCAAACTGAGGTGATCACTTCTCAGTTTATGAGATTATAAGGGACAGTTCACTGCTTTTAATTGAATAAAATCACTGGCAGTCAGTAACAGAGACGAGGTTTGCGATAACACGTAATTACCAAGCTGAAAGACTTATGTTACCGGAAAAATGCCTGTCAAGTACAGTATCCCCATGTCTTCCAGAAGTGAATATGAAATGATAAGTTTGCCTATAATGATTCCACTTTTTAATGTGGTTGGATGATTATATCAGCTGTACAAAGCCATGTCAGGGTCCTTGTGCTTTCAGTGTGCTGCCCTTTCATTTTTGTCTGAATAAGCGAATAACCAAATTTGAGATTTTAGATGGTTTGATAGCTACCTATCCACCGTGAAAGCTTTGCCTCAGGTTTGACAGCATCGACTGCCACAGCTTTACTCGCTTATTCTTATTTTAGCCAGCTGCATTTGTATTAGAGTGAGTAAATGGAGCGTGGAAGAATTTTTCTATTGATGTAATTCTTTCTGAAATAGCATTTTCGGTATCATTTTCCAGGCCACACACTGCTCTGCTTCATAGCCCTGTATTTGTAAAGGGGGGAAGGGGGGGGGGGGTGAATGCTTTTTGGTTTACACTTATCTTGTTGTCTGCTCATTTCCCATGTTGCCCGTACACTAGTGCTTTTGCAGAGTGGCGGCCAGCGGACTCTCGGCAGAGTGAAAACACCTTTTTGCAGCGAGCAGGCGGGATGTAGCCCTCCGCCCATAGGCTGAGGCCTGCATCTGGCGACTGCGGGGAGGCCTGGCCTCATGCCGGCCGCTAATCCACAGTGGCGGATAGAGGTCCGCTGTTTCTGGTGCTGACAGTGCCCTGGTGCTCGCACACACTGGCTCCATTACCAGACTATATACGACCGCGTTCAGGAAGAAGAAAAAGTGTTCATCACTCATCTGTTTATGAGTCAACACTAATGATGTCAGAGGGAGCGCGGGCCAGCCTCACTAGCTATACTGTATAATTGATTTTATATAAAAGACTTCATTTGTTTGAGAATTAGGCCCTTTTTTCAGCCATGCTATTTCAAGTGTTGGACAGACACTCCCATTGCCTCCCACTAAGAAAAAAAAATGTCGTAAAACCCACTTTCTCCAAACTCTAGGCAGAATTTACTACAAGAGTAAATGTCCTTCAGAATTTTAAAGTACTGCTGTTGTGTGCAAAATATTCTTAATTTTACCTTAACATCATTTTTGTAGTAGTAGTACAAATTTGCCTGAAGGAGATAGGAATGTAGATGTCATGCTAATATTTGTATTTCAACTCGGTAGCGGTACGTTTATGCTGATAGTAATTTGGGAGATTCAGATTGACGCTGTGTGATCTAAAGTGATTAGATAAAAATCAAGTTTAACACACAATTATTGAAATGATGAGACACCGAAAGAGTCGCACGCAGTGTTGTGTACGAGCGGGATATTTACGCAGTAAATATGTCTGTGTGTGTGTGTCCATCTGTCTCCATGCGTGTGCTTGTGTGGTTTCATATTTACACAGTTTATTTTTGGAGGGCCAGTGTTCGAAAATAAATCTGCAAAATTAATCAGTACTGGTACAATGACACTACTATAAAATCCTGAGAAAAATACATTCATTGAAGGGGAGGTTATCTTAATTTATGATGTGTATATGTGAGGCTGAGAGTCTGCTTACAGACTAAGGGGTGTGTGGCGCACACAGCACTCTGTGTTTCTGCCTGAGACACAGAGACCCCCCCCCCGCCATTCCGCCCCCCAGCCCAGCTGGCTCTCGCAGGCACTCTCTGCCCAGTTATATAAGCTGCTTCTGTCAGAAGGACCTGGAAAGTCTTGCCCGTGATCATTACAGATGAGCCCTCTACCTTTGCGAGTGTTGAAAAGGCCCTGTTGACCTGTTCTAAATTACTAAAAGTTATGGATAATGTTCCATTCTTCCCCTCTCCTTATGTTTCTCTAATGTTCCCTCTCAGAGCAGCGAAACTTTACGATTATGTTTTGTTTGCAGAGTAGGCAGATGGAGTGCCACCTCATTAATCAAAGCTATCCATTTTTTTTCGCTTCTCATAAATGAAAATAAGTATTTATTTTTTTATTAGCCATGACATGTGGGCTGCATAACAGGCCAATGCACTCATGTCATGTAATCCACTTGTCAAAACAATTTCACGCGTTGAACTGAAAATAATATAGATTAACAACGAGAGCTAATTTTGCTGTCTGAGTCGCATTTTGACACAATGGACGACCAGGAAAGCCATACAATGTAAATAAACAAAGTTCACGATCAACATTGCAGATCATCTTCTGTATCCTATCTTCATGTTGAACATTATTCACAATCTCGACTTCATAAGTAACCTTGTCCCAGCCATTGGATGGATTTTTATTTTGGAATACATTGTGGCCTTGCCACCAGCATAATTTCTGTATATTTCAATTCATAAAATCTTCAGAACATTATTGGATTGTGTTGTTTCTTTACTTTAGTCTACGGAAACTTAAGTGGACTTCAGCAGGTGCTGATCAGTGATGAATACAATCTTTATCTCCATTTCTCATGCACAGACAACACCAGATGACACTTTAATGATGTTCCAGTATTCTTGAAAAAATTGGTCTTCTAAGAGCTGTAAATATGACTTAATTATGACTGCAGCTTCGGCATTTTAAAACTGTCCGATATGAAATGCTGTGCACTTTTAGTGTCATACAATTAACCATAACTGGGTGAAATGCCCTTGATATAATTTGCCACTTTTCCTAAGTATGTAGCTTTTGTGTTATTAATTCTCAGTGTCTGCCTGGTATGTGAATCATAGGAATCTCTTTCAGAACTTTTTAATTACTGAAATGTTTGAGTGGGATTACAGTTCCAAATTGATTATTTACAACTGAGATGCTTTGAAACAGTGGCTTTGTGAGAAGAAATTGAATTAGCCCTCGGTTTGTTAGATGAGCTGAGGTGATTCGGTACAACATAAATCCATCTCAGGAGATCTAGATGATAGGTAGTGTGACCTATATCTGATGCATAAACTGCTTTTCTGGAGAGTGAACTGTTTCGTCTGCCAGCCGTTTGCATGAGAGCAGTTGCAGGATGCTTAATTTCAAGGGTGTCTGAAGATTGCCATCACTGAGATCGTAGCTGGTTGGACAGCAGGAACTGAAAGATACAGTTTGTAGCTGAAAACCCAGAAATAGCTTGTCAATCAGGAGAGCTCTGTTGGGTTGAAGATATTCAGACCCTCAATCTTTTTCTTTCATTAAAAGAAAAGCTTGGAATCTTTCAAAAGCATTTTCTTATGATTTGGTTTATGTTTCGTTTTTGCTTAGTAATACTTCTTCCCTCAATTCAGCTCATCCCCATTGTGTTTTGTAGTGAAGATCCTTTTCTAGACCCATCACATTATGTGATGTACTTAACGGTCAAGTTGTAAGCTACTAACTTTTTATTTAAAAAATAAGACTACACTTTTAGGTGTTGAGGAATCACGGTGGTGCTGTGCTGAGCACTGTTGTCTCATAGCTGTGGGAACAGGGCTCAAGTCCTTGCCATGGCTCCATGTGTGTGGAGTTTGCATGTCCTCCTTGTGTTGTTGTGGGGTTTCCTTCCCTGGTTTCCCCCCACAGTCGAAAAACACGCCCCGGTGAATGGGAGTCACCGAATTGCCCATCACCTGAATGATGTGTTTATGTGCTCTGTGATGGGGTTTCACGCAATCGTAGGATATTCCCTACATTGTATCTGTACAGTACTTTGCTTCGGATATGCTTTGGACCCCTGCGACCCTGTATAGGACAAGGAATCACTCACTGGTCAAATGAGTTTTTAATTTTAATTTTTTAACATCCCTGTGTCAGTGATTTATCCAGGTCAAATTTCCTGATATGTCATTGTTTGAGCATTGATGTCAGCGTGCGTGTTTCAATCTAATGGTTTCTCTTTGTGCTTGTGTTTCTTAGATACATCTAAGCTTCAGAACCCCAGCCGGAAGCAGTCCGTTTCCCGAAGCCTTAAACACCTTTTCCATTCTTCAAACAAATTTGTAAAGACATTGAAAAGGTCATTATGGTAGAATTTTGTCCCTTGTCACATTGTTTTTTTTTTATTCCATGTACAAGTTATATTACACTTGCAATTTCACTGGTTTTATATATATATGTAAAACGTCAAACGGCAATATATAACAAATCAGTGAAGGACTGATCTTTTTTTCAGTCAGCATAATGCTTAGTGTTTTCCAACAGCCCTTGTACAGTTATCAAACACTTACCTTGTATTATATCTTACTTGTACCTCTGCAAAAATCGTTTGCAACATATACGTGTGTATCTACAACTTCAACTTTAGCAAATTTTACAGTACCTGGTTTTAGAGTTGTTGGAGCAGTATCAAGGAGCTGTTATTTTGTGAATAACATGAGAGCATTTCACCTATGTGTTATATTATTAATAATAAAACAAGACCAGTAAAAATGTCTAGCTGAGATAATAATATCTAGCCTTCAGCCCATTACAGGTATTACATTGTCTTTTCATAAGTCGGCTTTGGAGAAACGCCACACCTAATCAGTTTATTTGGCTTCTAACCTATTCCTTGTGTGTAATTACGCCGGTCGAGACTGTATTTCAGCCTGCTCTGGCACAGCCCGGCGTGACATAATGAAATCAGCCCCGTTCCTAATCTCATTATTTGCAGGGGTCTCTATGTGGCAGCAGTGTTCTATCACAAGGACAGTCTTCTGGTGACCAACGAGGACCAGATCCCCATCGTGGAGATCGATGACTCCTACAGCAGCTCCTTTATGCAGGACTTTTTGTGGTTCGCTAAGGTATGGTGGGTTACTGTCCTTCTGTCGAAGTAAACTATACCGTGGAGGACATAGAAGAATGATTGGATAGGTGTGTCACAGGCAGTGCATTTAGCCTGCACCAGTAGAGCATATGCTGTGATGGGTTGGCACCCCATCCTTGGTTGTTCTCTGCCTTGTGCCCGACGTGATAAGCTCCGAACCCTGTATAGGGCAATCGGTTACAGAAAATTGATGGATGGATGGCTAGAGCAAACGGAAAATGCTCTCGCATTTACTGAGTATCTCTCTCTATATGTGCGTTTGTGTGTTCATGCATATATGCATGCATGTGTAATCTGGGCCCGTGACTGACTCCACCTGTGCTGATTGGCAGCTCTCCTGCATGTGGGAGGACGTGCGGTGGCTGAGACAGAGCATGTCCGTCTCCATGTCCTCCTCGTCCACGCTGCAGGCCCGCCAGAAGATGCTGGCCGCTGCAGGCCAGCTCCAGGTCAGAGTTGGCTCCCTCAAACGAGCCTTTGCTTATTATCAACCACTTCACAGAGCCGGGAGGCGCCTGTCGATCCTCTCTACCGGATCACCCTGAGCTAGTCCATCGACGTCTGCCGCATACAGTGACACGTAGCCTGTTAGTCAGCAGCCATCTGAGGCTGCATTACTCACTTGCTTTGGGTTTTTTTGGTATCTTGTTGCTTGGGAAACTGTTAATGTGCAGATTTAAAGGAAAACAGATTGCTGCGAACAGAAACATCATATATAGTTGGGTTACACCTTACACAAAGGGATAAAGGAACTTGTTATCAAATTTTTGTATTGCATGTAGCATGTAGGGTGACCACGTGATGTCAGGGGGAGTCACTATGAGCTACTTCAGGTTTTACAAACTACTTTAAAACTGAACGGCTCCTGTGCTTGGCTGATTAATTTAATTCTCCTTGTGCCTTTTACTAGTTTGTTTCCTTGATTGAAAGATTCGTCCAGCTGTTTCACATTAACATTAGTGACACATGGATGATTATAGGAGACTGACCAATCAGCACACAACAAGAACTCAGTGCTAAAGTGGAATCCAGGTCTTTTTAAGTGAAATGGTATTATGCAAACCCTGTCCTAGCCCATAGTGTCTCCCCTGACATGGATTAGATGGTCATCCTAACAGCATGTGATCTGCTTTTTGTGAATTTGCATAAATTCATCCAGTGTAGGTTCATAGTAAGGGTAGCGCTAAGATGGTGTAATGCTACAGCATTTAGTAAGACCTTTTAGTAGGACGGATTTTATCAAGTTGTAGCATTGAATTTTCAGTCATGCTGTTTTCACAGCGTCCCAGCTGCCAGATTGCTACCCCCCTCTACAAGCCCGAATCATTACTTTGCTCATCTGAATGAATTGTCTGAAGGCACAGCCTAATGAGGATTTGGGTCTGTTTACCAGCTCATTATGAGGGGGAAATGAAACAATTAATCAGAGCGCTTGGGAGCTGACACTAGCACTGTGCCTCTGGAGTGCTCACGCGCTGGTGTTGTCTAAGAAATGACACGCCTCCAGAAAACAAGAGAGCCTGGTAGTGACTTAAAAGCTCAAACGTTTTTCCACTCTCCTGTAATCCCTGCGATTTTCTTTGGGGCACCTTTACTGTTTGTCTTTCCTGTGCCTGGCCCATTGTTATGTCAGATGTCAAAATTGTCACATGACTACCCCGCAGAATCTCCTCGGCACGCACAACCTGGGCCGCGTCTACTATGAGCCCATCAAAGATAGGCATGGGAACGTCCTCCTGGTGACCATCAGAGAGGTGGAGAGCCTCTACTTCTTCAATGGAAAATGGATGCAGGTGTCCAAGCTGCAGAGTCAGAGGAAGTCGCTCTCCACGCCGGAGGAGCCCACGGCACTTGACATCCTGCTCATCACCATTCAGGCACGTCCCCAGCTGTCGTTCTGACACACAAGGCCCTCTCATGATGCAGGGCTACTTCCTGTGGGCTCCCAGATGTTCACTTTCCAACTAAATTGTCTAACTCAACCGTATGCACTCTTCAGGATATTTTGGCCTACCAGAGACGCAGTCAGCACCGGCTCTCGTCTGGTCTCTACTTGGGTTTCCTGAAGTTGAGCAGTTCTGTGGACCAGATCAAGGTGCTGGTTCCTCAAAGGGTGCCCAACATGCTGTGCCACTACAAGATCAGGGACAATTGGAATGTCTCACGGTGAGCTTTCGACACCCATGTTCAAGCGATGATGTCATGTTTTTTTTTTTTTTTTCATACTGCAAGTCACAATGAAATACTGCTGTGCGTTACTAGCTCAGGAAACAAAGGGAACAAGGGTCGCCCTGTTCTCGCCGCCAGCGATTGTCTTACTTCGTGATGTGCAACCACAGCCTGAGCATGTTTTATGCGACTGGCCCCCGCCGTCGCAGTCGGCGCTCCAGAAGGCTTGCTGAGGAATCCCGCCCCATCCGATACTCCTTGTAAAAGGAAGCCCCTCGTGTGGAGCTGTTTATTTGGGCACTGTCAGATATTATTCCTCTTAACTGGGCCTGTAGCAGCCAGATAGAAGTATTTCTGCAATGCCGGCTGGCTGCAGCATGTGGATTCTTGGAAGCCAGACTAACGCAGGCGTACACTTGAGAGTGTGAGGTGAAAGACAGAGAAAACCAAGCTGTGTGTGTGTGTGTGTTTTTTTTTCTTCATTCCAAATTATACCCAAAAGGCACATCAGCTACATGCTGCATAGTACAACGTGGAGCGTAATGTGTTTCACTCTTGAATCAAGCAACTTGAGTATTTAATTAAAGATTTAAATTCCAAAGCAGGGATATTTCCATGCGAAAGGTCTTGGCGACACTCTCCGAGGTCTCCTGTGCAATTTTTCAGTGTGGCAATTTATCACGCTACCCCATTGCCTCGCAGACAGGAAAACTCGGATGAGAAAAAAACACCCTCAATGCCTGAATTTAGAAAGCAGCGAAGGAGAATGTATAGCGACAGAAAGGGGGGGGGGGGGAGTTTCTTCGCTGGGGTTTTAAGTAATCACTCTTCAGCGTGAGCACACATACTTTTCTTCACATGGACATTTTTAATAGGCAAAACAAAAATGTTATTTGTTTTTGTTCTGTGAATGAACTATTTATTTATTGTAATCTCAGGTCAGAGCTTTGACCCCACTAGGTAGGTCTAGACAGGGAGCATATTATCCAAGCACTCAATGTGGCAGTAGAACACTAAATTTACTATTGCTTTCCATGCGTCGCGCTGGGGCAGTCTGCAGGAGGCCGCGTGTCCCAGACGTGGGGCACACACGATATGATGCCCATTTTCAGCCCGAGGGAAAAATCTCTGTTTTTTTTTTTCCACAAACATGCCTCACAGGCAGTGGTGTGCCCTCTTGTGCTGGAACAAACTGCTTTCAGTGTGTATCTGTCACTCACTCATTCTGTCTTGCTGTTCAGGCATCTACAAAGAAACTGCTGAATTAGAACCCAAGACACAGGACTCAGTGATGTAGTTAAATTGAAGTCTTAAAAAAAGAATTAAAATTATTTTGAACGTCATTTCATCCTACCGTTAATAGTTCTCCCTGCTAATTGTAATCAGCCTTCTTTTTATGTTAGCAAATCACTATAGGCCCTACTAACCATTATTTTTAATCAAGGAAAATGTTTTACAGTTATAGAATTTTCTCTTTCTGTAATAATTCATAACCTCAAAAGAGACATTCAATATAATGTTTTGTTAGGCATCTGGTTTTTTTTTTACCAGGAAAAGGTTTTTGTGCTTTCCGGGAAGATATTTTATGCACATTTTCATATCTTATAACGTTGTAGATTAGTGGAATATTTGGCCCAAAGCAACAGCATAGTTCCCATTGTTCTTAAGTTGAGGCGCGATTGAGTGTTACTGTGTCTTGACACGTGTGGGGATCAGCGTACGCCATAATACTTAGGTGTCAGACAGGACATTAGTGCATATATACAGTATGGCTGACGCTGAATGTACTTTAATACTTCGAGCCCAATGATGCTACAGATGCCAGGACTGAAGTGATATGTGAAAGCATGCAGTCACTCTGGGGCTAAAATCACGCTACGTGTCTGCTTACTCTGACCGTCTCTCCTTGATGCTTAGGGATGAGTGGGACTGGCTGCAGAGGTTGTCTGGCCCAGCGCATGTGGAAAGTGTGGATCAGACCAGCGACTGCCACAACCCGCTCTTCCTCTACGAGCTCCAGATGGCCGTGAAAGGCTTGCTCAAACAGATCAATCTACCTCTGCACCAGGTACTTCATGAGTCGCAGGCACGTGAGTGTGGCCCAGAGATCACTCATTATTCTCTTTCCTTATCTGTGGTCGGGTAAAGGGCCGAGCGCGATACTCTTCCCGGCATCACGGCGTTCCCACATGCCCATCAGAGCTCTCATTCTGTCAAAAACATGCAAAGCCGCGAAGAGCTGATTAAGTCCGTGTGTCATATGTGGGAAGCGAAGTCTACACTGCCGTCATTCAGGCGCTCCAAAACCTGGGTCCCGTCATCCCAGACTGTTCGAAAACACAAGACCGCTCACGCACGCCAGAACTCTGCAGTCTCGGCTAATGCCAACTGTCGACGCTCCCCTTTGCCGAAACGTCCCGAGCTTGTGAAAATGTGTTTTTTCCGTGACCTGTGAAATGAATCACGGCGAATGCGGTGGACTTTCACCGGCCCGCTCGCAGAGGGCTCTCGCGTTCGGCCGCCACGGTCCGTGCCGTTTCCCCTTTTGCTCCGAGGTTTATTGCCGCTTTTATATCAGCTCTACATTTTGTGCTCTGAGTCATAAACTGTATTTTCCACAACCTCGCCGTTAAGCTTTACTGCCGTATGTCTCCCGGAGAATCCGGCAGCTACGTTTCTCAAACGCTCCCTATTGTGTAGGTAATGAAAGCTAAGCGTCGCAAATTGGACAGAAAGGCGGGACGGATTGTGCTCCATTAAGGCGAAGCGTTTGCCATTATTCTGATCCGCCAGATCCGCTGGAGTTTGTTGGGAAGTGTGGACAATTCACGAAATAGTGCTCTTTTGTGTAGCACGTGCACGCACGCTTACACACACGCGTGCACACACCCACACACGTACGCTTGCATATACAGTACTGTGCATTGGTCAGGCAGACTGAACGCATAAATGACAGGTTGTGTAAAAGTGCAGGCCCATAATATGTGCAGGTATGCGAGGTCCCCGTGCCATTCTGTAACCCCCTAACCCCCCACTTGTGTGCGTGTGTCCCTCTGCAGGCCAAGCACTTCCGTCTCTACACACAGGAGGTGCTGGAGCTGGGTCACAATGTGTCCTTTCTTCTTCTGCTGCCCGCCTCAGACGACGTCTGCACTGCCCCGGGACAGACTAACCCTTACACCCTGCACTCGGGGTTCCTCAACCTCCCTCTTCAAATGTTTGAGCTAGGTAGACTGGCTTCTGTTTCGGCTACAATATTAGCTCAGTGGCCTTATAAAAATCCACAGATTCCTATCTGTTCGCCTGGCTCCCACTGGGCTCCCAATAAATCACAGGCACGGCACTGGCTGTGACCTGCCCTACCAGCCATTTGGCGAGGTACACCTGTACAGAGAATGGCAGATTGTTAATGTCCCTGTTACACTCATATATTTGTGTACCTTCAACAAAATCCTTCACATCTGCACGTAGGTCAGAGATTAGAAATATATATGCTTTAATAAAATCACATGTACGTATTGGGTGTAGCAGCAGTGTTTCTTGCATTTGATCTGGAATTTATAGTGTTTTATTACGTATAATCAGGAAAATACTTGCTTGTGCCATTCCCTATAATGTTTGGACAACAGAATTTTGACCACCAACTGTCAAATTCTTATAATTTGTAATATCTATGTGTGTGTGTGTGTGTGTGTGTGTGTTTTTTATCTATACATTTTATTTATATATGTCATGTTATGTATGTATTACACATTTTATGATGTTTATATTTTATGAAGCAGTTATTTATATTTGTGAAGCGTGTTTCTAAGTATGAGGTCTCAGGCTTATTTAATGCACACTCTTCGTTAATCTGCTCTTTGTTTTGCAGTTCACTTTTGCACTTACAAGGAGAAGTTCATCAGTCTGTACTGTCGCCTGTCCTCCGTGCTGGACCTCGACGCACTCATTACTCAGCAGGCCGTACGAGAAGCCATCTCAGACACAGAAATTGCAACAGCCAAGCAGAGGCAGCAGCATATTCTGGATTTCATACAGGTATTTCATTAAACATGTTGCTGTTCTATTAATCATCGTAGCTCCGTGTTGTTAAATTTCTTTGCACATAAATATCACTTATCTCCACCTATATGAGAATACAGGCAGAATGCTCAAGATGTTGTGAGTTATGTACATCTGGCATTTAGAATTTAAAAAAGGCAAAAACAACTTTACAACAGGTATTGAACAATTAGATATTGATGCTATAAAATTTAAAGGCTAAACAATAAACATTTAAACAATAAAAACTATAAAGAATTCTCTATTTTTTCTTCTGAATTTAACATGGATTCTAGAATCATGTGTAATTTGTTTTGTGAAGAACTAATCCAGCTTTGCTGCTACGGTCTTTGTGATAAATAGAGATAAACCCCAAAACCACACAGAGCATTTTTACATTCTCGCCTCCATATAGTTTGGTCCCATCAGGGGACAGACAGGGCTGTGGTCATATCAAGCTGCCCAATATCTTGCTTTCGTGCGTATGGCATCACTATTGTAAAAGTTCATCTGACAGGATCAATGTTCATCTTTTGGGGAACCACAGGCTAGCATCACCATTTGATAACAGCTTCTAGTCTGATTTTAAAGTACTAAATATCCATACCCCGTTAACTACTGCAGGAATTTCATTCCGTCATCAAATACAGCAGTACTATTTATCTCTGTTAATGAACAGCGACAGATAACGTTCCACATGTCAGCTTTACGTATCGCTGGAAATTAACTCGAATGCGAACTCCGGTGGGACGGATATCATTTCTATCCATCTCTTTCTTCTTGCTGCTCGGTTATCGTCGAGTCACTGCTCTCAGACCCCAGCGCCAGATGCCCCGTGGCCCCATTTTTTCTTTCAGCCGAATCTCCTGATTTATTAAATGGGAAATGTCACTCGATGGCCTCTATAGATTGCTTTCCGCCAGCTCCGCAGTCTGTCTTGGTGCCAGACGGCCGCCATGGCCAAGAATTCCGCCCCGGCGTCCGACACTATCATTCTTTTTGCATGTCCCTGCTTAAATCCCATGAATCAGTGATCACTAGTCAGGTTTCAAGGGGTTGGGTGTAGCAGCAGTGTTTCTTGAATTTGATCTGGAATTTCAAGTGTTTTGTTACGTATAATCAGGATAAGTTTGCTTGTGCCATTCCATATATTGTTTGGACAACAGAATTTTGACCACCAAATGTCAAATTCTTATAATTTGTAAAAACCTGCATGTCCTAATAGCTCGATTCATAAATGTTCAAGTTTAACAAAATTATGAGCATGTAAGAAAATCCCCCAGAAGGGTTCACACAGTTCTCTCCCAGTCATCTGCAGGCATGTCTTCCAAAATACTCACTCCTGATGTCAAAACTCATTCCCATCGCATCGAGAACTCGTATATTCTGCCAGAAAGGGGTCTAAATGTTCCTAGAAGTTTATTTAAGCTTGCCTTAATGAAATAAGCACCCCTTGTCAATGGGATTTCAAAAGGGAATTTTCATGGTTACTTGGTGTGACAGAAATTGTAAACTCAGCAATAAAGTAGAATTTCTGGAAGCTTCCAGCACAGATAAGATGGGGAACACGTTGTGATTTAGAATCCAGCCCACCTTTGGTACAGCACAGAGTATTCTTTAATAACAGCCTTATTTTGATAGGTAAGACAGATTTTCATTCTCAGAACTATGTTACGTCTGAAAAAGTCATCTTTGCTGTTAAAGGAGATGTCTTATTACGTACACCAAAACTTAGAAGGCAGATTGTTATTTCTGCAGTGATAAAATCATTGGTGTAGATGACAAGCCCTTCTAGGTGTAGTTAGTCATGGTGAGTATGTTTAAGATGTAGGGGTCCACATCTCACACACTGAATCACAGACCAGAACAGATATCACATGGAGAAATGAATGTTGAATGCTGTGGAATAACCACAAAAGCAATGGGGCCATATCCACTGCTTCCGTCCAGTCAGGATTAATCATCACTCCTCATCTAGCCTAAAACAGTTATTGGAATTCAGGGGAGTAAAATAAATGTGTCTTTGTATGAGACTGAATGAGGATGTGACAAAGTCATCACCTCTATAAAAATTAAATCACTTTTTTCCAGGTTATCTCTGTTCTGTAGCTTGTATTACAGCATTGTGTTTTTTTTTTAACTTGAATATAGACAGGTTTGTCTATATAAAAATTTTAATACCCAGAAATCTTTAATGGAACAAAAAGGAATCGGTTCTGGTTTAGTACAGGACCAGTGACAACAACAGTACAGTATATAGACAACACAGCAATGTAGACAAATAAGATATGTAATATACAGTATAGGCAATATAAGAAAAATTGTCAAGAAAGTTACTGTACAGTAGAAAGCAAGGAACAGTAGCGCAACACAACATTGTATAATAAGTATAACCCAACATAGGGCCACAGACATTAAGCACAACAACAACATCGATGTGTAAAAAACAGAGGTAGTGCAACAGGATGGAACTGAACTGGGATTCTGATTGGTTAAGGTAATTCTAAATGGTGGGGGGGTTACGCTGAGTTTGATTTGAGTTGAGTTTGTTGAAGAGTCGAATACATTCAGGAAAGAAGATGTGAAGTTGGCATGTAGCCGAAGTGACGATGGACTTGTACCTCGTCGGTGATGGTAGTTTGTTGAAGAGTTGGCTGATGGGGTGAGTGGGATCACCAGCCATCTTTCCAAGTCTCTTCTTCACCCTGGCAGTGAAGATGCTTTTTTATATATGGTAGCTGAGATTTCATGTCTTCAGTGTAGTAGTTTAGTCCAGTTTAGCCTTGGAAACTCGGGAAAAGGGGTATGGGAACCAAGCGGATGGTCAGTATTCTTGCATGATAGCTGAGTAGAAGTTCATGACGATGGGATGTGAGATGTTCTGCGTAGAGGTTCCTGAGCTAGGGTAGGAAGAACAGTCTCTGCTGGGTTTTTCTAGTAATGAAGATGGTGGTAAAGTCTCACTTAAATGTGTTAGATATGGTGTTCCTCAGAAATTCAACTGACTCAGCCATCATTGCAGAGAAATATAATACCTTCATTAAAGTGCGGTGCACCGGAGCAGGGGGTGGTCATGTGGTCTAACACTTCAGGGGTTTGCTTCTGTACCCGGCTGTGTGTGTGATTTGCATGTTCTTCTTGCAATAAACAGGAATTCAGGTCCAGGGTGTTTTTTGCCTTAAGCTTGGGAGCGGCTCCAGATGACCCTGTACTGAATAAATGGTTATGCACAACACATGGATGGATTATGCTTAGATACGCACAAACGTATATGCATATGTCTGTCCTTGGTGCGTATGTTTTGGTCTTCTGTCTTCAAAACATCAGCACTGGTTATTATACTGTGCTGGAAAGGTTATAATCCATGTGAATGGCCAGAGCAGAACCCTGGCAGCTCACCCTTGGTTATTGAGCAGTCTTTCTTGTTGGCCATATGCAGCAGATGGACGAGATGTGGAGGGACATGCGCTGGATCACGGAGGCTTTGCAGTACGCCCGCTATAAGCAACCCCTTGGTGGAGTTCCCATCACCTGGCTGGTGGACCCTGCCATCGAGCCCACCATGCAGAAGAATGACTCCACCTCCTCAAACATGGACTACCTCCCCACCCCCTCCCCCTCGCCAGAGATGCGCAGACGAAAGGGTGTGAATGGTAATTCTTTTCTTACCCAAGAGTATTCCCATTACCTTCAAACCGTCCAATTTCTCACAACCATTCACTCTATATTCCATGTAAATTCCATGTTTGTCAATATTAATTTAAATATAATTATAAGTCATCAATTGTGAATTACCTATGCTGATATTTGTTCTTCCAGACTCCCAACCTGGTTCAGATGAAGAGGGATGTTCTGAGGTGTTCCTCCCCACAGACAGCGACTACGACTCCAGCGATGCTCTAAGTCCGCGGGATCTGGACCTGGTGTACTCCTCCTCGCAAGATATATCCCAGCAGGCTGTGTACGCCCTGAGCGGCAGCGCCCCTGACGTCCTGCAGGTACATGATGTCAAATACAGCATTTACCGGAAGGACTCAGAGGCCGATTCCTGCACCAGGAATATGGAGAGTTTGATGCTGACCGGCTACTCCGCCAAGCCCGCTAACCAGGTGTCCTGCAGCAAGGTTCCACCCAATCCTCCAGCCAGGAGGAAGATGCTTGCCAAGGCCCAGACCCAGCAGAGCAACACTGGAGTGACACAGCGCTGGCTGCGGGTCCAGAGCGAGAGCCTGGGCACCTCGCTGTCAGAAGGCATTTACACGCAGCAGCACGACGCCGACCTGCCCCTGGAATCCACATCCACCTCCTCCGTTGGCTTTTTCACAGACCTGCTGCAGGGCCCCGTCTCATCTCACGCTACCTACAGCTTAGAAGGCCTGAAGGGCATGAGAAGGGAGTCCAGGCAGAACGTACGCCGGATCTACGTGGAGCCCTGCAAGCAGACCTCGCCCGGTGCGGATCCTCGCGGCTGGGTCCTGGATGTTGAGGGGTGTATTGCCACCCCCACAGAATTTGAAAGTAGTGTGGCTCAAGACACTGACTCAGATGACCAAACCAACGCCCAAGTGTCTGAGATACTTAGCAGCACACTTTAGAAACAGGCAGCAGGACAGACAACGCGGCATTCTCATAATCACTCATTTTTCACCACTGCCTCTTCACGATAGCACGCGAATGAGGCACATAGCCGAATGAAGTTCACTTTTTAAGTAAACGTATACAGAACATAACTGGATGTAGAATCCTTACAATAGAATGTATAAAGACTGATGTTGCTGGTCAACTATTTTAGAAATGTAAAATCTATGGCTTTGACTGTTAAAACAATAATAATCAATGCAGCCTGATCTGACGCACTGCTCTTACTTTCAGACTTGAATATCTGCCTCCGATTGAGGCTGTAACACCAATAGGTAACCAAACAATAGATTAGATAAAATGTGATCTTTCTGTGAATTGGCATGTTGCGGTTAATTCCGAGTGATAATAACATGCCAAACAAGCCGGTCTTTGCATCCTTTTGAGCACACACGCACACACACACACATATATATATATATATGTGTGTGTGTGTGTGTGTGCTCTTTGTAATACGTTACAGTGTTACATAGATGATGTCACTTACCAAATGACACAATTGGTATTTTGTTTCTTTCAATCCTGGCTATATCTTAGCCACTTTTGTACCTTACCGTTCAGCCCCTTATATAGCCGGATATGCACCAAGGCAGTGCTCTGGGATTCAAACACACCACCCTCTGGCCACGAATAAGCCCCTTAGCTATAATTTCCAAAATGAATGGAAGAGACATTGTCTGCTCTTGCCAGTGAAGACGGTGCTCGCTGGTTGTCAGAAAGCAGGTAGTTTGAGTGAAAGCAGAAAGAAAAAGACGCAAGCCACAATGGCATTATGGTTCCTTAGAGGGAACTGGTGTTTACAGCCTTACTTGGCTCTAACTCTGCTCACCCAAGACTGTTTTTGCAATCAACATTCCACTTGGGTCAGCGCTCCTAGCTCCCATAACGTCCATTCAGATCCGTTTCGCACAGTGATATTTACACCAAATCAGCTGATTTATATTTATCCAGTCAGATCTCGTGTTACTTTAAACGTTAGTGTTCTGCATCGGAAAAAAAGAAATGTGTTATGAGCATGAGGCTGTTTTGTGCTGCGTGTATCTTGGTACTCGGCTGTACCAATATGAAGTTGTAAGAAAGTGCACTGAGCAAAAAACGCTTACAAAGGGAAAAGTGGACAGTGGTACCAGCCTTGGAACTGCACAGCTGTTGGCGATTGCTGTTCGTCAAGCCATTGTAGGTGTTTGTAGTGTGCAAGTCCTTGTATGTTGAACTGTACGTGTGTTTTGAAATTCCCTGTAGATGTCCTCTTATTCAAGAACACGCCCAGGACTTAATATGGCTTTTCTAGATTCTTCCATCATTGTGCATTTTGTTATGAACCCAACACTCCACTGGTGTTATTTCAAATCTAGGAGTTTCATCCCCCCAACATAAAACTCCGCATTCCAACCTGCCAGTGCTACTTCCTTGTCACCAGCATGGGTCACCATTATAGTGACAAGAGAAATGTGTGAATATATTTTGGTCTTTTACCACTACAATGTTACTGTTTTCATGCTTTCTGGAATATATATAATATCTGTTACAAACCTGGCAGCTTTGAAAATATTTTAGTGATGATGGCAAATTTGCCTGTTGGTCCCTTGTAATGTTATTATGAATTGTTGATGCTGCAGTGTATGTAAAAATCGCAGGTCTTTGCACAATGTGCTTCTGTTTTGTTATTGTATTACCCAAAGTAAATAATAGTGTACCTTCCATCAGCATATTTATATAGTATCATGAATTATATTTTATTCACAAAATGCATATTCCATTTGCACTACTGTAACTGTTTTGTGAATTTTGAGGAATTTTGTATAAATTAGACTTTTTGTAAGAAGTTCACAAAATTATATTTAATCACATTATGCATTGCAGATTCCTCGGTCATTAAGTCTGTGTTCATTGATAGCTCTGTTTCCTCAGGAAAAAAAAAATGTGTAACTTCTTGAAATGATATTTAATATAGTGTATTTTATTTTTATATCTATGTATGTATTCCCCTTGGGCCACTAAATCTAGATATATAACTGTCTTTTCCTTCCTCCCCATAGCATTTTTGCTAAAAACTGCTGTAGGAGACAGTGTTACACATGGTCCGCGGCGGTAACACCTGAAAGTTGCTTTATTTGGGGGCAGCGTTTTCACCTGCGTTGCAGAGATGCCCGTCACACGCACTGCTGCTTTTCCTGCCCTCTGCCACACCTCCATTAAAAAAAAGTTGATCGTTTCAAATTTTTAGTCTTTCTTTCCAATTTGGGCTTTTCTAGGGTTCTAAGAGTATCATTCAGGCCCCCACTTCAAACGTTAGAGCCGCCCATCGTAAGTCTGGTACTTTACTGCCATCTCTATCGGATTGCTTTACTCCCCAGTGCTATGTGCTTAGTCTACATAAAGCCAGTGGGTATACACAGTAGGCAGGGCCAACGTACATGCACGCCAACATAACAGCCCGAATGGTGTCGATGATGTCATGCTTCTCTGAGACTTCACATAGTAAATTCCAGTCTACTTACCATATTTCCTTTGGCTGTTCCTCTCAAGTCATCACCTGCTACCTATTCATTGCTTGAGTCTCTTGTCCATAGTTGAATTTGAAAGAAAACATAAAAATATCCATGTGATTATTCACAGAAATGTACAGAATTTATCTCTCTTTTTTTGGGAATGAGCAATGTTCCAGAGTGAATATTAAATTTAATGTGTCTCCATTCATTTATGTGACAAAATTTCCAACAGGTTTATCAAACTATTGGCTCAGCCTTGATAATGGAACCATCACCCAGGCATGACAGTCCATCCCTCCAAATAGTTTTAAAAGTGGAAGGTCCGTTGGGTGTAACTGTTAATACACTGAGATCATCCATTGTGTGAATTAACTCAAATAAAGTGGATGACTGATCATTTTCAAGTTCTGAGAAAGCATTTGTTTGTTTAACTTCACAGCTGGACATCTTAACATAGCACTGCATTGAATGTGTTCCTTCATTATTCAGGGAGATGAATTTATTAGTACAACACTTGAACATGAAAATATTTAGAAAATTTGAACAGCTTATGACAAGAAATTTGATATTTTTGCCAGAAATGGTTACTTTCAACACTTTATTGCTGTTTGTAAAAGGATCTCTTTGTTTTCTTTAATTAAAATTAACTTTGTCTTGAGAGTTAAAGGTTATACAATATCCTGTAATTTTTAAATATTTTTTTAAAAGATGGCCTACATATTTGAGACTGAATTGTGTAATAACTGTGAAACTAATGAGCAAGTTTAAAAATTATATTTTCCATGTAGGGAAAAGCATTAATACTAAAGGCATCGGTTTATTCTTCTGTTTTTTCCCACAGAATCTTGCACGAAAATATATTTCATAAATGAACCTGTGTTGTAGGTTGTAAGTATATAAACAGCACTTGTCATTATACCACAACCATGTGATGCAAAAAGGTCACAAAAAATAGACAAAGAGCAGCTGAGTCATTTATGCTATGAGCTGTACTTACAATACACATTATATTGCATAAAAATAAAAATCAGACGAACATGTCTGAGGAATCACAGCTTTAAAAATCATTATACGCTGGACACCATTTGTACTGGGTACTGAGAAGCTGCCTGAATTTCTTATTTTTTGTGCAGCTTAGATGTCGTGTAGCTTAGAATTTTTTGATAAATTGACGAAAGGCAAATGATATACATATGCACTACCTTTCAAATGTCACTTAGAAACTTGCTTGTTTTCCATGACAACATACATGCAATGAGTTTCAATAGGAAATATAAAGTTAGAAATAATCATTTTTGAAATTAAAGTAATAATTGTGTTCTTCAAACTTTGCTTTCATCAAAGAGTTTGCTGCAATTGCAGCCTTGTAGACCTTGTGCATTCTAGATGTCAGTTTGCTGAGGTAATCTGATGAGATTTCACCCCAGGCCTCCTGAAGCATAGAATTTAGTGATTAATTGTTATTGTTGACACACCACAGCACACTGTGCACAACAACAAAGTGTGTCCTCAGCCTTTAACCCATATGGGCCACTAGTTCAGCACCCGGGGAGCAGTGCTTGGGGGTGGTACCTTGCTGGTCAGGGATTTGAACCTGCAACCTTTCAACTACAAGTGCACTTCCCTAACAATTAAGCCAGCACTGCCCACAAGTTGGATTGGCTTGATGGGCACTTCTTACATACCATTTGGTCAAGCTGCTCCCATAACAGCTCAATAGAGTTGAGATCCGGTGACTCTGTTGGCCACCCCATTATACACAGAACACACCAGCTGACTGCTTCTTCCCTAAATAGTTCTTGCATAGTTTGGAGCTGTGTTTGGGTCATTGTCCTGTTACAGGACAAAATTAGCTCCAATTAAGCGCCATTCATAGGGTGTTGCATGGTGTTGCAAAATGGAGTGATAGCCTTCCTTCTTCAAGATCCTTTTCTCCTTGCACAAATTTCTCACTTTACCATCACCAAAGCAGCCCCAGACCATCACATTGCCTCCACCATGCTTCACAGATGTCGGCAAGCTCTCCTCCAGCATCTTTTCATTTGATCTGTGTCTCTTAAACGTTCTTCGTTGTGACATGAACACCTAAAAATTAGATTCATCAGTCTATAGCACCTTTTTCCAATCTTCCTCTGCCTAGCATCTGTGTTCATTTTCCCATCTCAGTCTTTTCTTTTTATGGCAATTTTTTTTCAATTTTGCCTAGAAGGTCTGCATCCCGGAGTTACCTCTTCACTGTTGATGCTGAGACTGGTCTTTTGCGGATACTATTTAATGAAGCTGCCAGTTGAAGACCTATGAGGCGTCTGTTTCTCAAACTACACACTCTAATATATTTATCCTCTCACTGTTGTGCACCAGGGCCTCCCTCTCCTCCTTCTATTGTGGTTAGAGCCTGTTTGTGTGGCTCCCTGAAGGCAGTAGTACACAGCATCAGGGGCGCTGTAAGGGGGAGGAAAGCTAGGACGATTCCAAGGGCCCCTGAGTGACAGGGGCCCTAAAAAATTAGGAAAATAACTGGATTGGTTTGGACTGGGGGGCCTAATATGATATGCTTTCATGGGGCCCAAAATCTCTAGCAACGCCGCTGCACAGCATTGTATGAGATCTTCAGTTTCCTGGCAGTTTCACGCATAGAATAGCCTTCATTTCTCAGAACAAGAGTAGACTGATGAGTTTCAGAAGAAAGTTCATTATTACTGACCATTATGAGCTAATCGAACCCACAATTGCTAATGCTCCAGATACTCAACTGCTCCAAAGAAGGCCAGTTTTATTGCTTCTTTAATCAGCACAAAATTTTTCATCAGTGCTAACATAAAAAGGGTTATCTAATGATCAATTAACCTTTTAAAATGATGAACTGGCATTAGCAAACACAACATTCCACTGGATCACAGGACTAACTGTTGCTGATAATGGGCCTCTGTACACCTATGTAGAGATTCCATTAAAAAACAGCCATTTCCAGCTATGATAGTCATTTATAACATTAACAATGTCTACATAGTATTTCTAATCAATTATACACACACAGACACACACACACACACACAGGTTTGCAATTATATCTTTGTGGGGACTCTCCATTTCTATGGGGAAAACCCTAATCCCAACATGATGACCTTAACCCCTACCCAGCCCTAACCCTAACCATAAGTAACCAAAAAAAATACAAGATTTTTGGCACTTTTGGTTTTTTGATTGCATTCATCGATCTTTGTGGGGATCTGAAAAATGGGCCCCACAATGTAAAAATAACAGGTTTATATTACATTGCGGGGAACATTTGGTCCCCACAATGTAATATGACTATAATCCACACACACACACACACACACGCAAAAGGTGTATTTTATGGTCCCCTTAGCAACCAGCACAAAAATATATGAAAAACGCAACATACATATATAAAAATAACTGTAAGATTGCTGCTTGATATCACATGACAGGCTGCCTTAAACACCCTCAGCACCCTCCAAACCAACACTGTACATCTTATGCATTTATGAGTTGCTGATCTTTTTGTGTGTCATGTGTCATTTGCTGGCCTTTGTGTGTCATCTGCACCTTTTGCAAAACTAAAAAAAAAAACTTGACTCCACAATATATCGAAATTGATGGGGAAAGTCGCGATGCAGAAAGGTGAAATGTTAACTGCCTTGCTTAGAGATTCAAGTCTTAGGTCTGGACCCTTGAATTATGATTTTAAGCCACATTAAATATTAATTGTGTAATTAAGATTCTTGGGTTTAGATGAAAGCATGTGTGCTTCAAGCCTCCAGTGTTGCCTTTATAAGAAACACATACTCATTAAACATTTCCAACCGAAACGGGGTGAGAGATCACCTTGCTAACAGTGATTTTAGATTACAAGAACTCCACACAGACACTGTTAGGCACAGAATATTTCAAAAATATGTGTGGATTTTTCAGGTACATCAACTCATCACTGTCATGACATCTGACCTCTCCCAGACGTTCAGCAGCTCCCTGACACCCACAAATGAGGCACAATGTCCCGGAAATCTGTCGTTCTGCTACACAGTTATGGTACAATTGGCCGGCAAGAAGTTTTACCGATGGCCCCTACCTCAGTCAGCAATATATATACAGTATTACCATGATACCAACCAAGCACTGGCCAGCACCCCCACCCTCCCGGATGCCTCTCATCTGCCTCCCTGAAATTAATATCCCTAAGGTGGGATGTCTGTTATGTAGTGAGGGTGGTGTCATCAGTCCATTAAGTAATAATTATCCCCACCTGGAGGTGGTCTAAGTCCTGCGCCTCAGTTTCCCATTGGTGAACCTTGAGATGATCTTTCCCAAGAGTAAGCTGCTTAGCTAAAGCTGTAGCTCAGTGCTCCTTGCGATTACGACATTTCAGTTCTTGTTTTGTTGAGTCCTTTTGTAAAAAAAAAAAAAACCCTTTGAATTTCCCCAGCTCTGACTCCTTTTTCCTCCATGCACCTGAATCTGGAGCCAATGCCTACAAAACAATAATACAGTGTGTTGCACCTTCTTTTATACACTTTAGTAAAGGATAACTAAACATTCTTAGCTATAGTTTTGATGACATTTTTGTCTGCAAAATGACACAAAAGCAAATCCAGCTCCAAGGATCCGCAAACACGGAGGAGGCTAATGCCCAGGTACACATGACTGTGGATTGACAAAGCAAATTATGGGCGTATGGTGAGAGACATCAGTCCAGCTCTTGGTGTTGGGCTAGTGTTAAGGCAGCAGTTCATTTGATGGTCTCTCATAGCTTTTAGGCCACTGAAGTCAGAACAGAGCGTATTGCTGACCTTTTATGCAAGGCCAATCACACGCACTGCCAGAGATTAAGGCGGGACTGATTGTTTGGGTTTTCCACTTGTTATTTTCAGGTGATGATAATTGGAGCTGTTTCATGACCGTCTACTGGATATGTATATACAAGCACCCATTTTAAGTGGGGTATTTCGATTTAGTGTTTATCCAAAAACTTCTCCTGGTTTGTCTTTTTAACTGCATGACTGTTGGTGTCATACTGTATATGACTTGGGTACTGATGACTCTATATCTGCATCTTTACCCTTATTTGCTATTTTTGAAACTTTTCATAAACTTTTCCTAACAGAACAGTGCATTTTGAACTGGCAATGACTGCAGGGTAAAAAACGCGTGACTTTTAAGAGGTGAAGTATGACACACTAAACGCAGGTTTCAGATTGACTTGGGGTGACTGTGCCATCGAGAGGGAATGGCCTGTCTGTAAGACCACACAAAACGCCACTCAGCTAGGCTTGATTCAGTACCGTCCTGATTAATTTCTGCAGCCCTGTGCAAACAGGGCACACGACCTAGTCAGTATGAACAGAGGGAAAACTGTCAGGGTGCACAGAGCCCCAGTC